TTTAACGTACGCAGTCCCAGCACGCACAAGTCCGTGACCACCAGACCGCTGGCTTGCCGTGCAGCGATTACGGACAAGTGAGACTCTTTCACTCACGGGGAACTTTGATTTCTGCCACTCTGTAAGGCGCCAAGATGACAGCGGCGGCAGCGAGCGGCATCGCTATACCCTGATCCGTCTCCCGACGACGCTGGCTTGATCCGCCAGGTTCGGGGAGTCGAGCAGCTCCAAGCTCGACTGATAGCAAGGCGAGGCTTTTAAGTTTAAAGTACGCTGCCTCATCGCGTACGGTGGTGGCCGGTCAATTGCACTAACACGTCGCTAGATGGCGCCAGACGCACGCCCTGGTTAATCACCCACGTGAGGAGGCCGCGGTGGCTATGGGGCTTGAGCTCTTGCTTCTCAACCGAGAAGTCGGGGGTTCAAATCCCGGCGGTGGGCTGGTTTTTTCCCGAGGATTTTTTCTGCGGGGTTTGCACCGTTGGGTGTATACCGTGGAAATTTTTCTTGGAAAAAAGCCGGTGCATCTCAACTGCGGTCTCTGGTCTTGGGGGTCACACCATTATCAAAGGATAACCTCAGTGGTATGGGAGGCGCAACCATATCGACTATAGGTACACGCTAATACACTAACACACACTTACATATAAACGCAAGACCCACCGTTAGGTAGAACGGTGAGGTTGGCCAATTAGCCTAGTAGCAGAAAGGGCCGTAATCAACAAAAAAAAAAAAAAAATCACCCACGTGACCCATCAGGCGTGGCGCAGAACTCTCAGCCCTTACAGAAGACATCCTCCGTCATTCATTGCACTAAGTCCATACGCATTACCTAGGCCGCGCACGCGAAACGCGCGACCAGCGCCTCCCGCGACTAAGTCCGTACGCATGACTTGCCGGAGTAACACACCTCACAACTCCCCCACCCCACAATGCTATCGCAAAAAGTCGCTAAATGAAAGCGTCGCATCCAAGATGCGGCGTAACGCAAGACTAGCGCTGCGTCAATAGACGCAGCGCGACGCACGACTAGCGCCACGTCAAGACGTGGCACGCCGCAAAACCAACAACCATTGAAAAGGGAAAGAGTGCGGTGTGTGATGCTCCAAAGCGTAGTATGACTAGCCCGACACTGCCTTCCCCCACGGACCTTCCACGTGAAGGAACTGGGATAGAAGGCGGCCGGTTTCCATTCAGCACGCGCCGAGATGACTGGCAGTCGCCCCGACTCCGAGGACGTTCATATTTCCGCGCATGCTCCCAGAAACCCGACGACCCAGTCACCCCTGACTACTGAATTCCCACTGGAAGGGACAAGCTTCCAGTGGGCCCCTCGGTGGTGGGCGGGGCCTATTCTACCCCTACCGGCTATGCAGGCCGGCGCCCGAGTTAAGGCCGCAACTCACACGTTGTGGACAGGTAACAGATCCAGAGCTGCTTAGGACTGTTACGTCCACAGCTCTTTCACCCCACCCGTCCACTACCCCATGCGATGTGGGGTGGCAACCACTGCCCCCGCGAGTCCGTTCCCAGTGTCGGGGCAACGGAGTTCTACCTCCGTGGGGGCTCCCCGACCCCGCGGTACTGTTTAGCGCCCAGTCAGCGTTCGAGGCCCCGAAGGACCTTTCCCAAGTTTGGGGACTTGTCTTCCCGGCACTTGGTAGGCCAGCTCGGGTGCGCGGGACCGCCAGACCCGAAGGTGCCAAAGGACACCCCCCTGTGTTTTACACCTTTCCTATTTCCAATTCCCACTACATTCTACTACCTCAATATTCTGCTATTACTCTGTCCTTCTCCCAATTTTGCTACTCCCCTTCTTCTGTCTTTCAAATTTCAAGCCATGATGAACTCCTCCCTTTCACTCCGGAAACCTCTCCTCTCGGTCCCTCTTATATAAGAGGGGAAGAGGAGGGTTACCCTCATTTTCTTCTCAGACACCTTCTCATTACATAGTAATGATGGGTGTCCGCTCCCTATTCTCCTATCACCTCTCCGTTCTCTCTCGCCACCTTTCCGTTCTCCGGACCACCTCAGGACACAGAGACGACCATACACTGTGCCTGCCCTCTCTCCCCTTCGCTTTACATGCAGCGCATCCGACCTCCCTCTCACAAATCTTCCTGAGATGTCCTTCCTCTCCACATTTCCCACACCTCTCCTTTGCCTCACAGTCCTTCATCTTGTGGGTGAATCCGTAGCACTTGAGACATCGCATTATTCTTTCGAATATGCGTGCTTCGTGTGAGGACCACCCAATAAACACCCTACCCTGTCCCAGCAATACTTCCTTTATCCCAGGTGTGACTTCCAGCACTACCCCTCCCTTCGAGTCACTTCTCCTCCCAGTCCTAAATTTCACCTTTACCTTCCTAAATTCCTCCTCCGCTACCTTGTCCTTGAGATTCCTGTCCCAAAGCTCCTGTACAATCTCCCCGTCTCCTACGTCCTTCCCTATTCCAATGACCTGTACAAGAGGGGGATATTTTTTAACCTCCTCCACTTATATACCCTTTTCCCTTATTGCTCCCTCCTGTACAATCCGTTTCCTATCATCCTCCGTAGCCATTTCCATCACCAGCCTACCTTCCTTTCCCTCTCTTACCCTATTGACCTTTATGTCCATATTTCTAGCTACATCCCACAATCTATCCTTTACTTCTCCTGCCTCCTTCACTCCTTTGCACTTGACAACAACCGCATAGCTCTTTCTTCCTTCACTTCTTTCTGGCCGTGACCCTATTTCCACCTCCATGTCTTGATCAGCCTTCTTCACAATGTCCCGTATCATCCTCCTTTCCTGAGCCACTGTAGCTGCCCCCACGTTCGCCCACAAATCCTTCATCAGCTCTTTTTTCTCGTCTAGCCTTGTCTCTAACTCCTTATTTCTATTCACCAAATCCATTACCAATCCCTGGAAGTCACAAACCCTCCTCATTATCTGTCCTGCTGTGTGCTTACTGACCCTAGCATCTTCACGTGCCATATAGTCAGTAAGCGAGACCGTTATATCCTTGAGCCTATCCATATAATTCATTTCCTCCTCCTGCTTCTCCTCTTCCAATTTTCGCCTCTTTTCTAAATTAATTCTCCTCACTCTTTTGAGCCTTTCGTACTCCTCCATTTGCCTCTGTACTCCTTTGTCGTCACTATACACCCTCTTCACAAAATCCCTCCTATCCATCTCCTTATCCCTCTCTTCCAGCGAATCATGCTCCTCGATGTGTCCATCCTCTCCATCATCATCGTCTAAGCTTTCATCGCTCGACCTGCTCCTAAGACTGAGAAACCTTATTCTTGTCCTTATCCTTATCCTTATCCTTATCCTTATCCTTCTTCTTATTACGTTGCTCCCTTTTCTTTCTCTCGTACTCGGCCGCTAGCTTTTCGTTGATCTCCTTCATTTTCGCGTCTTCCCTATCCCACTTCTCCGATTCCTTTTTGAGCGAAAGAGCGAGCAGGTTCGCTTTTACCGAATCGCCCGCCTCCTGTGCCTTTTTGATTGAGCTCGTGAGAGCTACAACCCTTCCCTCCCGAAACTTCTCAAGCGCACTCACCTCTTGCTGCTGCTGTTGCCGGACATCCGGCACTAGCATGACTAACTCCTTATGGTCGAAACTCGACCCGTGATTCTTGCCCCCCTCAGAATATATGGGGCTGCCACTAGCGACCGAGGCTTTCACCCGATACGAACTAGGGGTGGATTCAGGCACGATGGCGCCCCTACCACCTGAGGTAGTTACGTATTTTGAACCACTCATCATGTTTGTTTGTTTGGGTTGTTGTAAGCGGTTCCGTCAAGTGGCTGGCTTGCAACCCAACGGAACTCAGGCCCCCTCACTGCGACAAAGTCACAACCCACGAGGGGGCATGAGATAGGGACAGTGGGAATCTCGTTAAACCGTACCGTTACTAGTGGTTGAGCTCGAGCCAGCTTCGGGTCGTATTAAGCAGCCATGATCTACTCCCGCCGTTTACCCGCGCTCGCGTCCCGACCGGCTCGGCTCGATCACTACCGGGAGGTGTAAAGCTCTGCGAAACCCTGCGGTGCACCGGATTTCGTCGTCGTTCCAAGTCCATACGCATCACTTGCGCCTCCGCTTCCAAACTACCACGTCCGGGACGTGCACGCGCACGCGGTCGCTAGTCGTTGCAGCGGTCCTGAGTAAGGACGGGAGGCGTCTCGTCGTGGCGGTCCGGTGGTCTTCTCGGTTATACCAGTCCTCGCACTCGCTTCGTGCGCAGCCGCCACCTAGTTGTACGCGAGACGGTTTCGTCGGAGTTTCATACAAGTCCATACGCATCACTCTCGTGGCGCCGCCTCAATATCATTCCGGCGTGTCCTCACAGCGACGCGCCGCCGGTCGTGGCCCCCGTTGCACTAAAAAGCACAAGTCCATACGCATTGCTCGCGCCGACGTATCACTCCGCTCGCTCGCCTCGAGACCTCTCCTCCGCGCGGACATCACGGACACCAGCGGGCGGGCTTTTTTCGTACAAGTACATACGCATTGCTTGCGAGCGGTATGACCCATAGGGAGAAGGAGGAGCCGCCGCCGCCGCCACTCACTTCTCCGTTTTGCCTTTCGAACTGTTTTTTCTTTTTCATTTTTTTTTTTTTTACAAGTCCGTACGCATTGCCACGAAAAAAATCAAAAGAAAAAAGGCCAAAGAAAGGCATCATCGTACACGATGATGACTCTCTTCGGCCTTGAAAGCTCTTCTTCTTGTTCTTCTCTCTCGCTGTACGACGCGACCACGACGACGACGACGACGACGAAACTTGCCGCTGCACTGGCGCTGCTGCTGCACGCGTCTGTGCAGCAACAAGACACAAGCGCAACAACGAGCTTCGTCGTCGTCTTTGTCGTCGTCGACGAGCCGCGTCGTACGTACGTCATCATCGTCCATCGTCGTGTGTCATCGTAACGACCAACGACGACGACGACGACGACGAAGACGACGTGTCGAGAGAGAGCGGCGCAGGCTGAGCCTCGTCTTTC